GCACCACCAGGGCTCCTTTTGTAAAGATTACAGCCTAGGAAACACTATGGGGCAGTTCTGCTGTGTCAGATAGAGTCTCTATGAATCAGAATCAATTCAATGGCACATAACAACAACAATGTCCACAAGAAATAATTACTACCTTCAGCATATCCCTTAATATTATCAGCAATATAAAGAAATCAACAGAAATTACCATAAGTGAAAGGTAGTCTTCCCACTTCTAGTCCCCATAAGCTGATCTGTTGTAGAATTTTCTTTTCACTTTTATACTGGTCAGTGAACACTCTGAGTTTCTTTTAGTCAAGAACGCAATATATCACTTCCATTTTACTTAAAAATACTCTAGAAGGCGTAACACTAAAAAACTAGCAGCAGCAAAGTAAACTTATAAAGGTTTCTTGTAATAAAACTATTTCTATTTTCCTATCTAGCTCTCAAGCTTCTTTCATATGTTCCCACCTCAAGCCATTCCAGTCCAAAAACCCCACCGAGTAAATATTCAAACTACCTACCCAACAAAATAGTTTGGGGACTCGGTAAAGGAGGAGGAGGAAATTAGCCATGTGTGTTTATCAACACCCTCATCATATCAATTTCAGAGAAAATAATTTTTTATTAGTATGTTGTTATGCAGAAAGCCCAAGAGATCCATTTAATAGCCAATACCTATGAGCTGAGAATATTGCTACAATTGAAATTGAACTTTTACATGAGTACAAAGAAAAAGGCTATTTCAGAGATTGTAATGGGAATATAACCTATCTAATACTACTGGTGATATTTGATACAGTGTTTTAAATGGATACTTTATACATACATAAAAAGTGACAAAGTATAACAAAGTCAGTAATCTACAGTTTAGACTCTAAACATTTTGGTCAATGCTATCAGACTCTGAAAATTTCCTTCCACAGTATTAAATCACCATTAAATGATAAAATATAAAATACAGTAGCTACCATAAAAGTGGCTAACATTTATTCACTGCTAACTATGTGCCAGCACTGTTCTCAACACTTCACGTTTTTGCTCATCTTATTGTCACCAATAACTCCCCACTAACAAATCCCCATCTTACAGATAAGAAAACAATGACCGTGAGAAGTTAAGCACAAACAGCAAAGACATGGCAGATCTGGGATTTCAACCGAGATTTTGGCTCCAGAGTCTATGTTAAATTGCCTCTCACATCATTTATGTTGACAGAACTAGTCAGTAATTATCTCTTACAATCCTCATTGTATTTTCTATGAAAACCAAGCTCCTTCCTCACAGCTCTAAAATTCTGGTCTGGGGAGTTAATATGTTATCAAAGCAAAGAGGTCACTTTGAGGACTAAGGTGAGCCTGACCCAAGCCATTGTATTTTCAATCACCTCATAGGCGTATGAAAGCCAGACAATGAATAAGGAAGTCTGAAGAAGAACTGATGCATTTGAATTACAGTGTTGGCGAAGAATATTGAATATACCATGGACTGCCAGAAGAACAAACAAATCTGTCTTGGAAGAAGTACAGCCAGAATGCTCCTTAGAAGTGAGGATGGCGAGACTTCATCTCACATACTTTGGACATGTTATCAGGAAGGACCAATCCCCCAAGAAGGACATCATGCTTGGTAAAAGAGAGAGTCAGCGAAAAAGAGGAAGACCCTCAATAAGATGGACTGACTGACACGGTGGCTGCAACAATGGGCTCAAACATAGCAACGACTGTGAGGATGGCACAGGACTAGGCAGTGTTTCGTTCTGTCGTACACAGGGTCACAATGAGTCGGAACCAACTCAACAGCACTTAACAATAGCATGTTATCAAAATTCATATTTTGGTATAAAAAATTCATATTTTTCCCAATATGGCATTTTTTTTCCTCCTAAAGGGATCCTCCATTAAATAAAAGATCAGCAATCCCTCTTTTTTGAATTACCACAATGGGTAATACATCAAGTTATGGAGCAAGATCAAGAGCAACAGAGATCAGAGTGTCAAGCATGACTGAACCACCTCCTCACAGATTCTGCATCTCTCTTTCACTTCCTATTCATGAAGGCTATCGGCATATTTTTTGAGAATTTATCTGTGACCAGAGAAACTGACAACTGACAGAAAGTGCATGGTAGTTTTAAAATTCTTTATACTCCTCCATTCAAGAGGTAGTTTAATTAATTCCCCTTCTGAGTGTGGGCTGCACTTTGTGATTCAGTGTTAATGAGTACAGCAGAAGTGAAGATGTATGACTAGATCAAAAACAGCATTGCAGCTTGCTCTCCTCTCTCTCGTGGATCCACTGCTCCAAGGGAAGCTAGCTTCCTTGTGAAGACACTCGAGAAGCCCTACAGAGAGGTCCATGTGGTGAGGAACTGAGACCTCTAGCCAACAGACAGATGAGTGAGCTGTCATGGAAGCAAATCCTCCAGCCCCAGTTAGGCCCTCAGATGAATATAGTCTCAGTGAACATCTTGGCTGCAACCTCATGAGAGATCCTGAGCCAGAAGTGCTGACTTTAGTCACTCCCAAATTCCTGACCCACAGAAACTCTGAGATAATATTTGTCATCTTAAGCCACAAAGTTTTAGGGTAATTTGTTACTCAGCACTAGATAACTAATACAGGATATGAGAGAAAGGTAATTTTGCAAGATATCTCCAAGGTATGTCTACCCTGATGGTTTATACCTGTCATCTTAAGCGAAACTACCATCACTCTACTCCTCTTTCACTTACCAAAAGATCAGAGCTCAGGAATATCACATGAAAAATGACTAACAGTCACAAGTGAACCATTTCCTCTACCCCGTGAGTCGGAATTGATTGGACAGCAATTAATAACAACAACCACAAATGGGAGTCTCTAGCATGGACTTTATAGAGCAACTCCACCCTGCCTTCTTTCTTTGCACCCATAAAATTACCACCACCTCCTTCCCTCCAGTCCCAGTAGAAGTCTATCTAAAGTATCCTTGACCTCCACATTCATGTTCCATCCCTTTCAGCTTGGTGAGTGACCCTGCTCCACCAGTTATGTACCTTCATTCCTATATCTTCAAATTCTCCCTCTGCTGGCAAACATTGCAAATATGCTCATATCTCCATACCTTTAAAAAACAAAACCCTCTCTAAAACTTATATCTCTACCTATCCTGTCTTTATTCCATTTACGAAACTTTAAGAGTAAATACCATTAGCAGTTTCAACTTTCTTATTTCTTACCCACTGTGAATTGGTTCCACTTGTATAATTGCTCTTGCTCAGATCAACAAAGATTTCTTAACTGAGACATCCAGTGGGTATTTCTGTTGTCCTCATCTTATTTGGCTGCTCAGAGATGCCTAATACTAATTCCTTTCCTCCAAACTTGGCTCTTCCGCTGACTTCTGTGACTCTCGTGGTTTTCTCCGACTTCCCTGGTTACTCCTCCATCTCCTTTGAGGTGTGTTTTTCCTCCATCTAACCCTTAAATGTTATTGTTTCCCATCCTCATTTCTCTTCTGTTATCACTCTACATTTTCTCCCTGGGTAATCTCATTCATTCCCACTGCCTTTAACTATCATCTATAAACTATGACTCCAAAATTTATATCACAAGCTGGGTCTTTCTTAACTTAGATCCATACATACAACTGCCTAAAGACATTTCCTGGAAATCACAAATGCCTCAAACATAACCCCAAACTAAACTCATCCCCTCCAACCGTGTTCCCAATCTATTTCTCTTCCTATACTCCTTATCTCAGAAAATGGCTCCAGAATTCAGTCAATTCTCCAAGACAGATATCAGAGAATTCATTTCATTCATTCCATGAATATTTTATTAAACATTAATTATGGGCATGAACATGATAGCTGCTAAAAATCACCCTGACTCCACCTTCCCTCAAGCCCACTAAATTCTACCCATTCTATCTCATTCACATCTAGTTAATCTATCCCCATCTCTTAATTCCCATTTGCACAGCTTTACTTCTAGTTCCATTCCCCACCCAGATAATTACAATAGCCTCTAACTGACCACCATGCTCTAAGCTCCCCTCTCTCTAATTCATGATTCAGATGGTTGCCTATCCAACCATGTCACTTCTATCTGTCATATATAAGCCCCCCCGCAATGTTCTCAAATTAATTTTCCTCACTTCCCATGAAATTTTGAAATTTTGTCACTATCCTTAACATGAAAAACTGTCTACTAAAATGAAATCAATAGAGTCCTAGTTTCCTACTATACCTTAAAGCAGCACTAGTAGAATACCTTGCTGTACTGCCTAAAATAATATGAAAGATTTACTATAAATAGGAACGTTTACTATGCAGTTAGTGCTCATCCCCTAGTCTTTTATATAAACCAAAACATCCTTGTGTATAAAATCAAGAAAATGTATGAATTCACAAAAATGTTATTTCCTAGGGAAAAATATTCATTACTCTAGTACTCTCCAAGGCCATGAATGACCACTACTTTATTACTAGCAGCCTGGAATAATGACTAACATATGGCACCCAATAAATATTTATGAAGTGAATGAAATTGTTTCTCAACCATATTTAACCATGTTTCCTACTATTCTCCATAGAACTCATAATAAAAAATATACTAGAGACCAGCCATATGCAGTAGTCTATGAAGAACAAACCAAAAGTCAATTCACTTTCTTCATTTCTTTTTAAAACTCCTCAAAAGCGTGAGCAGATTAATAAGCAAGCAACAGAGGCAAAGGATGTGCATAACTGATAGATAATTCAAGCCAAGACTTCCCTTGGCTTTCGTCTGCCAATATACAGGCTGTGCACATGATTAAATTGTCAGTCAGATATCAACAGTTCAAAAGTCAGGTAAAATGATTAGCAGGTCATATTATGCACCACCACCCCACCCCCATTTCCCTGATCATATAAGCAGATTAAACCACAACTGAAGCAGAAAGTCAGATTTCCTCTATCTAAACTCTGACTAGAAATTAGATTTTTCAAAAACTTAGTCAAAAATACTTAAGTAAATATTTACCCTGCAATGTTGTGTTTTTCCTTCTCCTTATCTTCAGAAGTCCCTTTTATAGTGTGTCATCTTAACGAATCTGAAAAGAACAGAATTTTAACCAATTACACAAGGTATTCTGGCTTTATTTTAACCAATTACACAAGGTATTCTGGCTTTATCAACAGTGTCCTCACTTCAGATTAAATGATTTGATTTTACACATACACAAACATACACACACGGAACTCTTTTACGTTAGTCTAGTACTACATTTGCTTCTCTAACACTTCCAAGTAAGAAATACTCCTAAATCTAGAATAAGACCACAAGTTCCAAACTACAGCCTTCCAAAGGTTTCAAAACCACCATATTTATGGAATGAGCAAGGGTTTGGGAGTCAGAAAGTTCAGGAGATCAAATCCTAGCTTTATAACCTCTCAAAGTGTGGCTTTGGGAAAGTTTTTCTCTCAAACTGTTGTGTCCTTGCTGGCAAACACAGCGCCTCAATTTGTTTCCTATTCCTAGCACCTGGCACACTTGCCATTGAATGACATGTTTATGAAAGTCACCTTGCAAACTCTGAAGATACTTAAAGGCGATCTAGCACACTGATTAAGAAACAGTAAACTGGAGTCAGGTTATTTGGATAAGTGACTTCAGGGCTATGGGCCTTACCTCCTTCATCTATAAAATGGGAATAATAGACCTTACATGATAGGACTGTTATGATGATTAAATGAGATAATATAAGTCCAAAAAGCACCTACCATTCAGAAGTTATATAAAATATTCTAGTTAGTTCATCTATTTTCATGCTCTGTGTTTTTAGAATAAATCAGCTTCATTGCTACGCACACTGTGAAAGCAGCTACAGGAAACCGGTTGGAACTTAAACGCCTGGATGGTTACAAAACTCACGATTTCTTTACAAAGGAAATTTACAAGGATTCCTGCCTCGTAACAAAGGTCCCTAACTTTCTACTATCAAAAATAAAGCCATGGGGGTAGGGGGGAGACAATTAATACTCTCCGGAAGGAAAATCAACTTCCTTTCACCTTCCTTTGACCAAAAGATCAAACGTACTCTTCCATCGTGTAGACGCAGCAAGCACCAATTCAGAATACAACACACATCACGCCTGGGTCATCTGCAGCGAAGTGCTGCTGCTGACAAAGACGAAGCCTGAGCTTGTGCTCGCACAGTCCTGCCCGAGAAGTCCACTCTCCCGCAAGTGGGGCACCGCCCACCCGCCTTATCACCATCCCAGGGGCTGCTCCTGCATCCGAGCCTCCAACAAGCTGCCTGTCATGGCCCTTCTGGCCTTCCCACTGACCACCCACACCCACTCTACGGGTCCCCAGTGCTGCAGGTAACGATGGGAAAGGTATATGGGAAGAGCCGCCGCCGCAGCAGGCAGCCACCTCCGGGACTACGAACCAGATGATCTCCAGAGACGCTGGAAAAAGCGCTTCCCACTCCAACCCTGGCCGGCCCTACCCGTCCTCTCACCTGGGCGAGCGCCGGGCGGCCTGGAACCGCTCTGGCCTCTCTCCGCGGACTAGCCGAGGGCGCTGGACGGCGGCGGCAGCAGCAGCGCCGAATCGGGCGCGGCCTGCGGAGCACTGTCCGCGGCCAACACCCTCTAGCTCGCCGCCGGGCCCGCAGCCCCACGTCCAGCCCCGGGCCGTAGCCACAGACACCAAGGGGGGCGGAGGAGAAGGGGAGGGGTCGGAGCAGAGGGCCGGGCGGCACTGCGGCTGCGTCAACCGGCGACGTCACACGTCAGCGGCGCCGGCGCCTTGAGGCACGCTGCCTGAGCCCCGCCCAGGAATCCGACGTCGCCCCGCCCCTTTCCTCTGTCACCTCCCCCGCCGGGCTGTGGGCGGAGCCTGGATAGTGAGGCGAAGATTGGGGCGAGTTTGAAATTCATTTTTCTATCCATCCAAAAGGAAAAGTTACTGGCCTTTCTGAGGCCAGAAGACCGCTGAGACCACTTAGGAAAAGGAGACTAAACAAACAAAAAAAAAAGAATCAGACAGGGACTTTGACGTGAGATAAATCGGCACGAAATAGAGACAAATGCTTTTATGCTCTTAGCAACAATGGTAGATTGTGTGAAATACTGCTACGGCCAAGTTGCTCAACTAAGCCCAAGTCTATTATTACTACATGAAAGAAAAGTGGTTTGATCCCCATTTTTTTTTTTAAAGAGGTTCTTAATATTATTTAGGGGGTGAACCAAGACTAACAACTTACTGGGGTTAGAGGCTTACCACAGACATTTATTTTGTGCACTTGTTATGTACAGATTGTGTTAGAAGACGTGGTGACACAATGCTTTAGTGATTGGCTGCTGACCGAAAGGTCAGCATTTCGAACCTACCAGCTGCTCCACAGAGAAAGATGTGGCAGTCTGCTTCCATAAGGATTTACAGCCTTGGAAACTCTGGAGCCGTTCTACACTGTCCCGTAGGGTCGCTGTTAGTCGGAATCGACTCAGCAGGAAGAGGTTTAGTTTTTCGGTTTGGTATTAGAAAGAGAAAAGTGGAAAACTGTCTTAGCTCTTTGGAGGCTTTAGATTGGGTGGAGAAATGTGGGTTATGAAGCAACTAGAAGTGCAGAATGGTAATGTACTAGCAATAGCAAACTCTTGATGTTTAGCTTAAAGGAAGCACTGTTGGTTCACTAGTAGTAATTCTCACCTTCCGTGAGGATGACCCAAGTTTGATTCCCAGCCAGTGCACCTCATGCATAACCACTACCCCTCTGCCATGGAGCCTTGCTTGTTCCTGTGATATGAGGCGGGTTTCAGTGGAGATTCCAAATGAAGACTGCCTGGCAATCTACTACTTCTAAAAATTAGACAATGAGAACCCTATGGATCACAACAGTGAAGCCCGCAACTAATCATAGGGGTGGTGCAGTCCCAGGCAGCGTTTCATTCTGTTACACCTGGGTTGTCCTGGGTCGGGGGGCCGACTTGAAGGCACCTAACAACAGTAGGCACTGTTTTTAAGCACTTTACTGGCTGATTTAATCCTCTTAAAACCCTCTGAGGTAGGTACTCTTATTATCCCCAATTTATAAATTGAAAATCTAAGGCACAGAGAGATTAAATAACTTGCCAACTGGGGAGCCAGGATTTGGACCCAAGCAGTGTAACTCCGAGGTTCATCCTCTTAAGCACTACAGTGTGCGATATGAATACTGGTGAAACTCACTGTGGCCTTCATCGAACCATGTGAGTGAACTGTGGGAATCTGGAGGTTTCTGTCTCTACTTCCTTCCTTCCCATCTCTGTGACCAAGAGCGGCTCTCTAACTACAGATGTCTCTCAAATTCTGAATGTCTAAATCTGTAGTTCTGACTCCTTTCCTGAGCTGAAGTACCACATCTCTTAACATTTCCACATAAGAGTCCCACTGTTACCTCAAAAGCAACAGATATGAAACCAAATTTAAGATAAAGCCAGAAAAGCTTAAATACTGAGATAACATGATTAACTTGTGTTTCATGTAAGGAAATGGAGGCCAGGCAGAGACATTTATGAAACAGCTGGATAAAAGCCAAGAAAAGAAAAGCATACACCTATTTAGTTACTCCCACCTGCCAGCCGACACTCCTCCTACCTCCTTTATTTAACTCTTTAGAGTTCATTTCTGTACCAGTACAAAGAAACCAATTTCAATGGTCTTTTTCAAAGTCTAGAACTCTAGTCATTCCAAATCTTTGTTCCCTAACAAGGCTCCAGGATTTCCACAAGATTCAAGTCTTCTACAGCCAAACTACCACATTTGCCCAAGAGAAAAATTGCCCCAGTGCTAGTTCTCTTGCCTAGAAATGACTTGGATGTGTTTCAGTTTCCCTAAATCAAAAACTAAACTGAAACTAAGTTGGCCTGGAGCTAAGGGAAAGAGTTAAGAGTGGAGAGAGGAGAGGCATGTGAAATTCACTGTGGTCTTCGTCTAACCACCTGAGTGGACTGCAGGAATCTGGAGCCTTCTGCCTCTACTTCCTTTCCATCTGTGTGACCTAGATTGGCCCTGTAACTACAGACGTGAATTAGACGTCATAAAAATGCATTACTTATTTTAAGAGACTTTTTATTCTAAAGGCCTTTAACATTGTGAAAATCATTAAGCACTCTGACCTTCATTTTCCTCACTAACTTTGCATTGCAAGGCTTACACCCTTTACTACTCCAGTCTTTGCTACTTGCACTGACAGCATGTCACTGCCACTAAAATAAGGGCACCAAAGCAGCTGCCTCCAGAGAATTCAGTAAGTATTGCTCTAACAATGAAAGCCCTTTAATGATTTTCTTTACGTATAAAAAAATATTTCATTTTGAAATAATTATAGCTTCAAGGGTAGTTGCAAGGATCGTACAGAGAGATCGCATATATCCTTCACCTAGTTTCCCCCAATGGTCACATCTTACATAATTACACTATGATATCAAAAACCAAGAATTTGTCATTGGTACAATGTGTGTATATAGCTCTATGTCATTTTATCACATGTATCAATTCATGTAACCATCACCATAATCAAGATACAGAATTATCCTATTACCACAGAGATTTCCCTCATGCTCCCCCTCTATAGTCACACACACTGACCTACCCCTATCATCTCTAACCCCTGACAACCACATTTCTGTAAATTTTTTTCATTTCAAGAATGTTACATAAATGAAATCATACAGTATGCCATGTTTTGAGATTAGCTTTTTTCACTCAGCATAATGCCCTTGAGATCCATCCAAGTTGTTGCGCGTATCAATAATTCTTTCTTTTTTACTTCTGAGTAGTATTTGATGGTATGAATGTACCATAATTTGTTTAACCCTTCACCTATTGAGGGACATTCTGGTTGTTCCAGTTTGCAGCTATTACAAATAAAGCTACTGTTAACAATTATGTGCAGGTTTTTGTGTGGGCTGATGATTTTTTTAAAGGTGTTAGATTTTCTTTGTCTCGCCTTTCTTTTGACCTGCTAAAAGAGCGGTATTTTCTAAGGTGGGCCCAAGGTGAGAAGGTAGAGTTCATCTCTTCTTTCTCTCTCCCCCTTGGTCCTCTCATTTTCCATTCACAGGCTCACATCCAGAGGTAGCCTCTGAATCCGATTAAAGCAAGTCCTCATGGTCATACTCTTCACCTCATTCTGGGGGATATTTCACTTTTAAGTAAAAACCCTAAAGACAATGAAAAATCTTCAGGCTTAAAGAGGGGTTGCTTTCAAAATCATCCACAGAAGTAGCCACCAAAGTAACCTAACCTAGCTTCATTCTATTTGGATAGGTGTTTTCACCATGAAAATGTTTTACACTAGGATTGAATAAAATTTTCTTCATAAGTGCTATGAATACTAACAGTAGGGATTTATTAAATACATACTAACTGGTAGGCAGTTGGCTAACTGCCTTATGTATAGTATTTCATTTAATTCTCACAACAAACCCGTAATGTAAATACCACTTTAAGATGAGGAAACTGAGGCATAAAGAAGTTTAATCACTTGGCAAAATCACATAAGTTAGGAAGTGGAACCAGAACTTGAACTCCAGCGCGTCTGACTCCGACACCCATTATTTTGCACTATTCCATACTAAAGCCAAGTAAAGAAAATTGTTTTCCAAAATAATCATAGTACTGCTACAGAACAGTAGCAGTAAAACCAAAACTATGGTGTAGATAATATTAAAAACAAAGATGTTAAAGCTGCATATTGTTGTAGTTTTAATGCATAAAGGAACTAAATGCCACCAAGTTCAATATATTAAAGAGAGTTTTAATGCTTAGTTTAGAAGCTAGGTTTTTTTGAACTATAATTTAGTAATTTAACAATAAATTAATAATTTAGCTATCATTTAATAATTGTTTAAAATCTTTATGTATTCCCCAAATTGTTATGCACCTTTTATGACACCAGGATGCTAAATTTGTAGTCAGTTCTCTCACATACTCAAAAACCAATAACATCGGTAAGTCCATATAAACAAAAAACAAAACAATTGATTCCTATATAATTTCCCAATATACCTGCCAGCTAAAATGATCTGTTTCATTTCATTTACCCCTAGCCAAGACAGGATGCAATTCAAGACTCTGTCATGCACAAGTGTCCCAGGAGCCACCAATGCTAAAGGAAACAAATGATAGTTGTTTAAGTTGAACAAAACAGCAAAATATACTTCAGGAAAACCACAATTGCCTGTCTTAAAGCTGATAAAATAGAGGAGCTGAGCACCTATTTTTAAAGAGGAAGTTTTATCCATCTTTTAATCCACTAGAAAAAGCCCATTTCCTATTTATGATTTGAGCTTTAAAATAACATACCCATTGCTGCTGCACTTACAGCGACTCTATAAGGCAGAGTAGAACTGCCCCGTATCTTCATGGAAGCAGACTGCCACATCTTTCTCCAGCAGAGTGGCTGGTGGGTTTGAACCACCGACCTTTCAGTTAGCAGCTGAGCACTTTGACCGCTGTGCCACTGTAGCTCCTTAAACTAACATATAATGTCCTAAAAATCAATAAGCGAAACCAACAACATAATGAGCAAAAGATATAAACATATATTTCACAGAAAAGGAAATACAATGGGGCATAAAAGATTAAAAAAGATAATCTTCATTCTTATAAGAAGAGAAAGGTCAGTTAAAGACTTTTTGGTTAACAAAGCTTAAAAAATTTGGTAACTCTGTGTTGAAAA